CTCCAAGTTTAGATAAATTCATTGGAGGAAAACTCCAGGGCTTATTAAGTACAAAGATATTACCTCTGACTCAGGAAGTCCTTGGCCACAAATTGCTAGAGACTGGGAAAGTTTGCCAGGAAGGCATTACTCTGTGCTTCCCCTCTTCTTTCACTCCTACAGTATTTACTGCAGATCCATCCCATGGGAAGGACACTGGACAGTTTTTCCAGTCTGCTTCTCTGGATCTGAAGGCTAACCCAAATTCACAGCAGTAACAGGAATGCTGAACTACTCCTAAGCATTGCCCATGGTGGTCTCAACAGTGTCAGTTCCTTCCTTTAGACTTGTCCCTGGCCTTTCCTCACCCTAGATGCCTTCTGACTCTAAGAACATAACTCTTGGATGTGATGATGTCCTTCACCTCCCCCACCTTTCATTATTTTTCATGTCCTGCTGGCAGGAACACTTGGCATTTGACTTGCCCTCACAACATTCATGTTTTTCTTGGAGCTCTCAGAGATAGGATTTTTCCCAGCCTGGATGAGTTGCTGTTATTTCTATGGAGTCAGCAGTACAATAGACCCTCTTGGGAGCCAGGACCTTGTCTGTCTGGTGGCTCAGCCTTACAAAGACTCAATCCCACACGCTTAACGTTACCCTTTGATTTCCAGGATTAGTGTCTGACTGGTGGCAGGTGAGAAGACAGAACAGCCCTGCACAAAAGGAAAGAAATGAAGTTTACATTGCAAGATGCATTGACTGAGGGCCAGGCTCGAGAAACAGGAATTGAGGAGAGGGCATTGCTGGCACTGGGAGCACAGAGCAGACAGCAGTCTGTTGGTCACAGAAGTGACAGTGACAATGGAGAGGATCTTTCCTGTCATGCTTTTTTGAATGTGTATACTATCCATGCTTAATATCATTCACAATCTAGCAGTTACTGTCTCTGCACTATGGTCTTCTTATTTGTAAAAGTTGGCTTAAAAGTTCTCGGTCTCTCTCAGCAGAGTAGGTAAAAACTGAGCTAAGGCATATTAGTCACAATTTTATCAAGAGATGAAAGTGATATAGATATAAAGTACTACCAGCTTTTAATTAAAAATGAATAAGTTAAAAACAGTTGGCACTAGCAAAATTCATTATGATGTGTTACCAAAAATAGCGACCATTATGAGAACGCAGTTTTATTACAACAGTGGGCACTAATCAGCTGTAAACATCATTGCTGAGATAGCCAGATAGAAAATGTGTTACTAATACTCATAACAGGTTTCAATTGGCTGGAATGGAAAACTAGAAACTGTTAAGATGCCTAAAATATGATCTCTCAGACTACCAAAATAGAGGTATGTACTTCTGTTACTTAAGGCAATGTCTGAATTTCAGGAACAATAACTTAGTGTTTTCTGCATCTGGTTTTAATTTGCAAGGAAAACTCAATTTTACAAAAATGCAACTTGACTTAGCTGAATATGTTTGACCCAGTGTTTTTATTTCTTCTTTCTATAGAATAGTCAGACTTGCAATTTAGATCCTCCAAACTTTTACACATTTCATTTGGTAAAAAATTCCTTTGATTTTAATAAAAAAATCTTCCAATATGAGTTTACAGGTATAGACCTACAGTTTAGAGCATCTTACTGACCAGTTCAGGATGTATGTGTGTGTCTTTTGTGATCTCTGCAAAATGTACTGTCACTGAAAAGAGTTCTATTCCTCTCTCTCTCCTCCTGTAATGTAGAGCACCAAGCAATAACAACAAATCCGTGGGTGGTTTATCTGATTTATGCTAATTTGCTATTGACACGCTTGAGGTATCACTTGCATCATCCCAGTCTTCCATATTTATTATTTAAAATATTAGCTGCTTATGAAAAGGAAATATTTTAAATAATGATTCATTTGTGCTGTGATCACCTCTTGAAACCAGGGCCCCACTCTGGTAGACAGTATACAAAATCATTGCAAATGAAGTGCAACCTGAAGTGTTTAACATAACCTTGCAGCAAGAGGACAATTTGAATCCAGGAAGATTAATATATCCCACCTACAAGGAGTAGGTCTCAACTCATGGAATTTCAACCACTGAACATGAGGCATCTAAATCACCTCCAAAACCAGTATAGGAAAGAAGTTATCCCAGCCTGTGATTTAGCTCACATAATTTAGAGACCTTAGGCCTTCAGGGCAGGCTCAAGCACCAGTACCTAAGCTTGAAGTCATATTTTCAAACTAGGATGCTTACCATAGTCTCCTAAGTTCTTGTGTCTGTACCTAAGTAAGCATACACAGAAGTGATGAGGGAAGTGGTGACTCATTAGCAAAATCAGAATGTGCTGCATAAGACGAATACTCTTCCAGAAGAAGTCACTTTACATGCCTAATGTGAAGTGCTGAGCTTTAGAAGTAAAGTCACAGGCACAAGTCCCACATTTTAAAACTTCATCCACCTTCCCTGGCATCTACATATTGATACCAAAAAAATTCATCCTTTGTAAGCAATCACCTGTCCTAGATCTTGCTAGTGCTGATGCATTCTAATGTCACTGACAAACACAATGCCCTGGTGAACTGGAACTACATGCCAAGTTTATGGGTTGAAACAAAGTACAGTATAGAAAAATGTGAGTTTCCACATGTTTTCCACAGGAAAGATTAGAGCTGCAGTATGTCAAAATTTGCAGAATGGTGATTTTAAGGAAATTCTGAATCTCTTGTTCTTTGTTGGCATTACTCATAGAAAAAAAATCAGTATGATATATAAGTAAAGCAGCCATGCCAAAGCTGACACCTACCAATATTCACAATATTGCTTAGCCTTGCTGTCTCAGTGGGATTTCATCCATTGCTTTGTATTTAAAAAGCTTAATTTAAAAAAAAAAACCACTTTTTTTTTTCCTCCACAAATTGTACTTTCTTCATATACTCTGTGTTTATGATAGAATAAATCTTCTATATGAGCAACCTAAGAATAATATGTGACAGGTTGGGGCTTTTTCTGAAAACTGGGAAATGATGCGAATCTTTTCCTGGTGTGCAAACCATTGCAGTTTTAGTATACACAGTTCAATTGTGCTCACTTTTTCCTTCTGATTTGCAAGTGTTTACCTTTGTTAGGGGGTCTGTATCTGGTGAAGGTATGCTCACATTCTTGGAGATGAAAGCCTTGAAAGTGTTATTGACTTTGGACATTTGAGCTCTTGTTGCCCCTGCATGTACACACATGTTGATTGAATGAGGCCTTAGTAAAAGAAATACCCTCGATGGTTGCCTTAGTATTCTCTTGGTCTTTACAGGAGTAGAATCATAGAATGGTTTGGGTTGGAAGGGACCTTAAAGAGCATTTATTTCCAACCCCAATATCCCATGTCACTGTACCTGGGCCAGAAACATTCCTGAATGCATGGAATATTGGAATGGAAAGAAGGGTAAGCTCTGTTCAGGAGGAAAAAAAAAGTATGGAAATAGGCCTGTCATACCAAAAGGTGCTATGGTGGAGCAGTGGCTGCAGCACTGATGCCAAGGGCACCTCAGCCAGAGCTGTGCTGGCTCACATGGCAGCATGCCTGGCCTGGACTGGGTGTGAGACATTTTGATTGCTCCATGAGTGATGTCTCCTGTTATCATCCGGAAGGTGACGGTATTATACAGGCACGCGGGACTGACCATAGGTTAGGAAACACTGGTCTCTAATAGACGTGGAAGACTGAGTACCAGGGATGCAAAGATTGGCTGATAGTGTGCAGCAGCAGCACAGGGAACCCAGGCTGAGATGCTGTAGAAGGCAAATCATGAAGTAACTCTAAGCCCTCCATGTTCACTTGTATTTCTCACTCCCCCCTTGGCAGTCAAAGCCAACACAGGCCACTGAAGGATGTCATCCTCTCCAAACCCTATCTTGCTACATTGCAAACTAGCCTGTGCAGTGAGAGAGAAAAATGTTCTCTTAGCTTGAGACACGCTGAGGACTGCAGCCCAGGGCACTGCTGGAAAAACATTGCAGAAGTACCCCAAAGAAATGGAAAGCTGTGGCAGGTGTTAAGTTTCCTGTTATTATCAGATAAGGTTCATGCATTCAACTAAAAGCCTAGATTTACAACAGAGCAAAGTTAGCAGAAGATAAAACTATGTGTATACATGTCATTAAGGTTACATTTATATATATATATCCTCCTTAAGCTGCTCCTGTGTCTCAGCTTTTGACTCTGGCTAATTAGTTTCTGTGTGGAACACTGGACTTGCATGCCCCCAGGTACACAGAATTGCTTACATCTTGCTTTCTTCTGGGAAAGGTGGGGACCTGCATCTCCTCCAGCTCTGGGTGGATTTATTCTTGTTTTGTCTGCCCTTCATTCCCTGACGTTTGGCCACCAGGTGTTTTCTGGGAGATGTCAGTATTTCATTCTGTGCCTCCTCCTTAAGGTTACTTCAGTAACATTTCTATTGTCCACAACACTTTTTGTCTTTTGTTTTTCACTAATTATAGTCTTGTTAAAATACAGCAGCATCATTTACAAATGATGTTATGATAAATAGTACAAATTCCTTTTAAAGTATATACAGTACATATACGCTATGTAGCAAATCCATTTATGACATTCAGACCTAAACTGATGTTGAGGGTAGGACTGCCAGATCTGCAAAAGCTCCACCTCATCTTTTATTAGACTTTGGGGACTCATCTAGGTGTTACTGTGTTTTGGTGAACTCAAACAGTGAACACCAAAGGCTTTGCATATCTTCAGGCCACCTTGCTCTCCTTCTCAGCCCTCCTTTCTGGCAGTGTCTATAAATAGACACACACAGAAAGTTGTTACTATTTAAAAATCCACATTTTCAGAAAGATATTATAGTACATTATTTTTTGAAGAGTCTTGTTCAGGGTATGACAGAAAGACATTGTGGCATCTTAGATATCACTGTGAAATAGTGCTTGGCAAATGTTATATTTTATTTGTTTAAGTAATTGGCTAACTATATTAAATACTAAATAAAACTTTTCTTGTTTCCCATTCTAGTTCGCCGTAAATCAGATAATGGTAATGAGACCATTGAACAAATTGATGAAGATATAGCTGTGACTCAGAGTCAGATGAACTTTATTTGTCCCATTACACAGGTATGATATCACTGCTACAATAATCGATTGGGAAATAGTTATTTCATATTCCTCATTGGTTTGTTTATTACAAATCTGCAGTACTTGTTATAAAACAGGCAATATAAACTGTAAGTGTTATCAGAGAAGAGCAACATTGCTTGGGAAAAAAAACAACATGTAAG